TCCAGCTTTAATGGACCAAGGAGTTCCTGGTGACAAATCTTCGACTCGAAAAGGAACTGTGCTGTCGATAGCCCTGGGCTGGTATCCAAGGGCAGAGGTGGGGGTTTGGTGATGATTTCATTGACGTTCAATGGTCTTTTAATGTCGTTCAAAACGAGTTCGACCTCTTCTTGTTGGGTGCCAACACAGACGTCTCTTGACTGTGCTCAACTAGGTTGGCATGGTTTGGTCATGTTTGGTCGTTGTCATGTTGTTGGCACCATTAGGGCACTTTTGTTTGTAGAAGGTCCGGAACATGCAGGCGTCCCTGACTGGCCCCACCTCAGGTGGTTTTCGGGTTCCTCGAACATGCAGGTGCCGTTCTCAGGTTTAGAGGACACTTCGACGAAGCCTCAGTGGCTGGGTGGTCGATCCTGCCACCGACTGGCCAGGAGTTGCAAGAAGGCCAAGCAGCGCTGGATGCAGCAGTTCAAGCGCTTCGCAGGGGACGGCAAAAAGAAGCCGAAGAGGTGCCTTCAGCTCGCTGCTTTCGGTGGGATACTGATGTAAATCATGGGCCTGTGGATATGTCGAGGAACTGAATCACACAGAAAAAGACGCGGATTCTTGGAAGAACATGAACGGAACCAGGAGTCCCAAAGAGAAGCACCGAGAGGTTCTCGAAGATTGTGGCGGCATCCGTCCTTTTTCGCCGGTCATTCCCTCTTGGCAATCCGTCCCGACCAGTTTGGGAGGACGAAAACGGATCCAGCACATCAAGAGAGCTTGCCATCCAGTTTTGGATGTTTTGGGATGGGTCGAGCACATCGAAAATCCTGGAAACAGAAACAAAGGGACCAAAACAACCCGCAGAAATGGAGCGCTCGTTCCTCTATGTTTGACTGCCAGGCATTGAAGCAGCAATTGAACGATCCAGATGACCGGCCAAGCGCTCAGGATGTGAATCCGCGCAGGCGAGGCAACCTCTGTTGGAAAGTATTTGTGAGGAGGAAAACGGGGTGTAGTCATGTGTAGTCGCTTTTTTTCCCTCAGAACACGATGTTAAAGGTGGGGGGAGATTATTGAGATTGCTTCACCACATCCTTTCTGCTCTCCATGTCCTCTCAGCTTTGGTTTCTGCTGGATCTGTCTGCTGGATGGCCTGATGAAAATCTCAGGGACAACGAGGCCGTGGGTGCCTCGGAGGCATGGATGGGACGAGGGTCAAACGGGGTGTTCTGGTACGATCAAACGGAGTGAACGGCGAGTCCGGAGTTCGCACGTATGTCAACGGATTGGTCGCACGGTCAAGTCGACAGACTTCTGACGAAGAAGACACTTTGGATGAAAAGAATTGGGACCATGAAGTTGATGGTTCGAAAGTTGAGAAGATGATTTCGCTCCGACAGAAGGTCGTTCATTTTTCGGTATGGGATGGTATGGGGTCATTATCATAGGGTGGCAACATGTGGCAACCATGCAATCGATGACCAGCACTTTGAATAGGTGTGTGTTATTTTGTTCTGAAAAAGAATGGCACCCTTGCCATATTTTGGCATGTATGTTCTTGTATGTGTCAAGCAAAAAAACACTATAATGAATATCATACACATATATATATATTATGTCTATAGCATCACAGTTCTTCTTTAGCTTTTCATTTCCCTCCATTTCTTCGGATCAAGTCGCGACCTCCGCGCGCGGCTGCGCGCGGCCGCGCGGCTGGTGGCGGGGCGGCCTGGACGTTTCGGTGCAGTCCGCTTTCAGGCCGGAGGACAAGAACTGCAATGCAGTGAAGGGTGTATGATGTGCCACTTCATGATAGCATGCTATTCAAATCCATTCAATATATTATGCTTTGGGCATGCTCGAGACATGCTCCAGACTGTTTGTACATGGCTCTTTTGTGCCTTACGTGCAAGAACTGCGAAGCAACATGAAGAACTGAGGGGTCATTGTACTGTATCTCTCTATTGCAGAATCAATGCAAACTTGACAGGCGATAAACAAACAACATTTCGTTGACATCATCTCCTGAAACAGATCTCTGAATGTCCACCCCCAAATATACGCACCAATCAATCGTTCCACCAAGCAATCAAAAACAAAATCATCCCGCAGGCCTGCGGGGTCACTGGTCTCATCCGACTGGGCAGCCCGAACCTAACTAAGAACCATTCTCATCCACTGTGCAGCTGAACCTGTTCCTGAGGTCAATGAAGTTTCTGGCCAGCCTGGCGGCCTGTCACCTTCTCACCTTGGCCTCCAAGGTGCGCGGTTGCTCTCCGGTCACTTCCGAGCGAAACGGTTCGTTGCGGTGTGCGGAGCGGAGCGTGGCTAGCGGAGAGTGGCAGAAGGGGCGAGGAAGAAAGGTTGGAAGAGGAAAACAGAGGAAAACGTTGTGATGTTTGCCATTGAAATACCTGTCTTTCCATAGCCCCTCCTTGGGATTCCACTGGTTTTGACCCACGGCCATGTAGTTGTTCAATGCTCGTATCGCTTGTATCGATCCACGTCGCCGAAACGACGCCTTCAACTCCACAAGGTCCCTTCAACTCCAGCGGCGCATTTGTTGGAGCTGGATGAAGGATGGAATTCCAAAAGGGCCTGGAAGTCATATTATACACGGTTATATACAATTGTACATATATGTACAATTAGACTACATAAAGTCAATATGTATACATTATACTATATTGTATTACCTCATATTACAATATGTTATATTGTGCTATATATTATACGATATTCCATTCTATTATATTATACTATATTTTTCCTATATTGTACTATATTATACGATATTATTACATTGTACGATATTGTTATACTATACTATAATGTATCATATTGTATTCTATTCTATTCTATTCTATTGTACTATATTATGTTATATTATACTATATTATATTATAAATATATGTGTACACTATATTACATAAAATCAATATGTGTATATTATATATGTACTATATATATTTTTAATACATGTGTGTGTATGCGCCCAGCGCCCACGAACCTTCTGTGTGGCCAGAAACCTTCTGTGTGTACTATTGGATGAAGGATCAGGTGCCCAGAAACCTTCTGTGTGGCCACCTCGGTGGTGTTTGGATGCATTGAAACCATGCCGTTTTTTTGGGTGATGTCGAAGGAGTTAAAGGGTGAAGGAGCCTAGAGTCGGAGGAATCTGTCAAGGTCTGTTTGGATGCGGTGATACATGATGATTCAGAACGGGATTAGTTTCACGTTGGTTTCAATCCATGGGTTTCAATGGTTTCAATTGACAAAGTACAGAGATGTACAGAGTGTACAGTGGGGTGAGACCGGAACGCACGCTTCGGAGACCACCAGTGCAGGACTGCGCCTTCGGGGGGAATTCGGTCAAGAAGGCGCTCAGCGGAAAAGACTTCTGAATTGCGTAGAAAGGACAAGGTGCTCAAAGTTAGTTTTCCTCCCAAGCACCAGACCCCAAAAACAATTCTTCTCATTTGGCCCTCATCTTCCGCGAGAAGAACCTACTTGTTTCCCGGAGGGAGTGGGGTTTGACAGATGTCAAGCAAGTCTATGAAAAAACGTCTTCTGGACAGCTCGACCGCCTTTGCTGACCGATGCTGCAGATGTCGCAGGTGCGGGACCCCACCTTTGCCACGTGCCTTTGATGCCAATGTGACGCTCAAGCCTCTCCTGGTTGGAGAGCTCCTGAAGTGGATAAAAGCCAGTACCAGACAAGATGGGGACCAAGTTTTCCTTGCGATGCGTCTTTCGTGAACATCGTTGTGGCGAATGAGTACAGCTGCGGCCAAGGGGGGCAGTACAAGAGGAGACTTCTGTTGGGGAAGAGACCGCAACCACAGGGCTGTTTTCAAGAGTTCTGCCACGGAATGTTCACATCCCAAATCATCCCAAGTTCCTGAATCATCCCGGGAACTCGACTCAGACACACCGATGAATCATCCCACCCAGCTCCACCACGGGTCCAGCGTCATCATCCATCCCTTGAACCTCTTCGTTCGGGTCCGCCGGCACCCACCGGCCATCGACACCAGGTTAGACTCCGACATCTACCCGGTGGCGCCACAGGATGCGATTGCTCCAGGCCAGGGAGCTGAAGGAGCATGCATCGATCGGCCAAAACCCATCGTCGTCCCATGACAGATGTGGCCTTCTCCAAAGTCCTCTTGTTGCAAGAATTGCACTCCTGGCCTTTTTTGTGGCAAAAACACCAGCTGAGCTGACAGACTTGGCCGGAATTTCTGGCTGGTGACAGAAGTTTGGGTGTCGAACATGGCGAACCGTGTTTTTGCTTGATCAATTTGATCGCTTCCGCATTGACATACTTGTTTGAAGAATACTTGACTCATGGAGAGACATGGGAATCGGAATCGTTCTTTTTCCGGGTGTCATTGTCCCTCCAGCGCCGCTCGCGGGTCGGCGGCCCCGTTGAGGCGTGCAGGCGGCTGCAGCGGAGGCGCCACCGGGCAGTGCGGTTCCAGCGTACCAGCACCAGGACGGAGATGTCACGCGGGGCCTTTCGTGGTTGGGAGGAGTGGGAGATGTAAAGCATTTGTAAAGCTGGAAGAAGTTTTTTCAGCTTGCCATGTGAGATGGTGGGCATGGCCGGCCACGTGATTTTTGAAGAAACCAAGAGCAATTAGGAGATTTTTGGAGGTTTTGCGAATTCGATCGAAAGCTGGCAGGAGGCGCAGGCGCCCAATAGCTTCCCAGAGTCTTTTCAGAAGGTGGGTCTCAAGCAATGGACTTGTGGACCAACCATCCACATGCGGACAGTTGATGATTTGGAAACTGGAGAGAATAGTGGTGCTTTGTTGTTTGGCTCGAGGGATGTTGGCCCTGAAAACCTCTCCAATCACAAGCTGTCTGTGAGTCCAACATGCAGGGTAGCGGAACGGAACAGATCCAGTCCGTAGAAGAACATCCATAATAATCTGTCAGGAAAAATGCTCCAAGAATATTATTTGGTGATTCCTTTGTGATCCAATGCCTGCAAGACCCGTGGTCTCATGATGCAACTTGCTTCCTGGCTCTTCCGCGCTTCGCTGGTGGACATGCCTGGACACGTTCATGCGCTTCCGTGCACGCGTGGACAGCAAGTGGAAGCCTATTGGGCTGGTGAGGTCGACTTTGGAGATGGCATTGGAGAGCCATGCAACCCCTCAATACATGACTGTTGGTTCGACGCTGAGGTCCAGGACGGGTAAACATCGCAACGATTCGCCAAGGACTAGTGTGGTTGTACAAAGACATATAATATATACAATATATACATCTAAACTTATATATATATAATATATATATATATATATCCATTTGTGCAAAAGTCCTGAAGTCATCCTTTGAAGCGGCACAGGTCTGAGGTCACGACCTTGAGTTCAGCAAACGTCGCACCTGTCACTTTGCCCTCCAAAACAGCACGACACCTCGCTTGACCGTCGCAGACACGAGGACGGTCCAGACCCCCACGGAATCTACCAGGTCCAATGGGCGGATGGAGGGTGGACGGACCGGTCACCGGTGCATGCCACGCAGCTTCGTGACCGGACCGGGGCACCGTGCCCGGTCACCCACGCAGCGCTTACCGCGCGGACGGCGGTCCTGGTGCTCCCCACGCTGCTGCTGCGACTGCATTGGGAGGCTGCGGAGATGGAGTGGCGAGAGAAAGCGGTGGCGGAACTGCGAAGGGAGCTGTTGCCACATGAGGTGGGCAAAAGTCGGCGGCATGAGGTGGATGTCTTGTGCTATTGACGAATGATGGATCGGGTTCAAATGATTTTAAAGCAACATGACCAACGTCTCATGTGCAACATACAGTACTCTTTCATATATTTGTCTTGAAGCGGGGCCCACCAGACTACGGTTTGTTCTTAGGTGTATGTTGATGCAGATGTCTAGCTGCATCTAGCTGCAGAAGCATAGTGTTCTTCAACATCAAAGGCGCAACATTGAAACAATTGCACGAGTCCAGCAACAGTTGCAGCACCAGCAGCAAATTCTGAAAAGCTTGCACGGGAACCCTGAACGTGTAAAGTGTGTTCTAAGCATGGTTCAACCAGAAGAAGAGGCGAGATCCCCCCAGATTTGCCCAAACGGCACCTTTTCGGAAGAGACATGTTGACAGCCCAGAAAAAGACATTTCACGCCTTGGGGCTGTTTTTTTTAATTCTTTTTTTTAAGGGGTCTCTTTCACGATCATCACGATCGGCTGTTTCCCTTTCAGTGACGCATCCTTCCCTTCTAAATACCGGGTGAACTGACCCCCGAGTTGGGGTCTCCACAGGTGATGGCCGAGTTTGATTGGCACCTCATCCTTCGCTTTCAGGAGGTTGCAGCCTGTGAACGGGCTCTTTCGCTGTTGAGAGCAGGAGCTCATGCTCAGTCATGCGACGATGGCAGTGCAGGTCATTGCCATCCATTTGTGCAAAAGATTGAGCATGCCATGTGTGGGGAGGTGCCCAAAAGAGCTTCCCAACTCCAGGAGCTATAAGATTGGTTGGGCCTTGAAGCCGAAGCCGGAGACGTTTTGAAGCCTGGTGGATGAAGCCAGAGGCGTTTGGAAGGCTTGCTGCAGTGCAAGCAGCTTCATTGAGCATCAGGTGGCCAAAGAGCACCCAAAGTCGGTGTTTCAGAGCGCGGAAGCGCCAGACTTCGCCAAGCGAGCGAAGGATGGTGTGTTCAAAAAACGTTTTGGAAGCAGTGACCGGCAGAGAGGAATCAAGAAGAACCACGACAATCATCAAGTATGTGCAGTGGTTTTGGAGTAGATGGCACATGGCACAAACTCCAAGATGTCTTAGACAGATGGAGGTCCAAAAATGTCCCACCAACATTTGGGGTAGCCTGTGCCATCAACTCTGAAACCACTCTGAAAGTCCTGATGGACGTTCCAACTCATTTGATTCTCACCTTTGCGAAGGCGGCAACTGCCTTGAGGGGCCAGCAGCTGGAATGCCACGATTCTCCACCTGACTGGCAGGACTGTGAAAAAGGATTCAACACCTGGAAAACAGCTGATGCTGTGCAGGTGGCTGTGAAAAGAGTAGGGAGACCCTCCAAATGTTACACAATCTGTGCGGTTTTAGGTGATGTGTTTATGTTGCTTTCATACCCATTCTCCAGAGGTCTTTGGCTGACCCCCCCTTTCGAGGCAGATGTTCGATTCCGTGCAAGGGTGAAACTGCCATGTGTAGCCGTGTAGCCTGGCCACACCCCACCAATTCGCATAGAGCCCCATGAGGCCATACAAAGAAACCGTTGAAACCTGTTACTGTATATCCAGGGTGTACACATTTGAGAGGTGTACACGTTTGAGACGGACGGCGGGTCAGACAGAAGACGGCAGGATCCGAACGGCAATGACTGCTTTCAGTACAAGAAAGGCGCAAAGATCCATTTTTGTTCGGCGCTTCGTCTTTCGTCTGTGCTAAGGAATGTGAAAGAAAAGCAGAGTTTGGGAACGGATGGTCTTTTCGTGCTAAAGGATGCTTGATGGCCTTTTCGTGGAACATCCACCTAGCCAACGGAATTAGGTCCCAGGCGCATGCGTCGCAGGCGCATGCGGCTTGGACTCGCAGTCCATCCGTCATCCGTTGACCCGTCGAAGCCGTCGACTCGATCAGGTGCCTGGTGCAGTGCTTCTGGCGCTGGAGATGGTTGGAAGAGCTCATGGGGAAACTTTCAGGTTCCTGGGCCCAGCACATGTGCCGGCAGAGGGCAGGCGATTCGCAGTGCGATTCGAAGCAGAAGTTAAGCCACAACATACTTCGGTGACAAGAGAACTGAAGATAATGCCGGCACTGCAAGTTGAAGGATCCGTTTGTGCTGCAGCTTGATGCAATCCCTACAAAACAAAACAACAAAGCATGTGTGGATGGCCTGAAAACATTCCTGGACAGTGACCAGCATCCTCACGTTTCAGTTGCAGATGTCGATGTCGTTTGCTTTCAGATCCCCAGAATGCTGAGGAGTGGTCCAATAGCATGGCAGGGAATGGCCCACAACAAGTTTGCTGCGCCTTGGACGCAGCACGCAGTGCTCATGAGCCAAGAGACGGGCTCAGCTTTGGCCGGCTGGGATGGGATTGGCATATCTCAATCAGCTTTGCTTGCATCTCATGCATTCTCCACCGGCTGAAGTCTTCCTGCGGCATATCAATGCCTTTCAGACTGACACTTTCAGACAAGTTCTTCGGATGTTCTGGAAAAAATGAAACGCCGTTCTTAGAGCCGTGGAAGCTGGAATGCCGCACAGATCTCGAATGCCGCTCAAGATTTGCCGAACTGCACGTGTGCGTTCTCACTGTCCAGGTGTTGGGCCACTGTCCAGGTGTTGGGCCACCGTCCATGATCACCAAACTGATTGAACCCACCAAGCACATCGGAATCCAAAAGCCCAATCAAATGGTGCTCCATCCCGGCATTTGGATCGTAGGACCTCTTCCTGTGAGGGTTTTATTCATCAAGAGTCTACATTGCTCAATGATACACAACGAACACTCACTGCATAGATGGCGTTTTACTATTGATTGGTTGATGAATGGAGGAAATACCTCCCAGGTGAACAACCAATGGGTATATGGTATGTATTATGGTATATATATGGTGCTAAATCTCCTTAGCGCTGTCCTTTGATTCACTCTTCTTTGTCCAACCACCAGCTTGGGGGGACGAATAATTCGTGGAAGATTTGTTGGAACCACAAACAAAATGCCCCACTGACTGGCCCAAGGCCTTTTGAGGAACCAAACAATAGGGCCATTGGGCCGGGACAGAACTCACCACAGTATTTTTGAGCCATTGTGACGGAGCGGTCGAGGTACCTGTGGGGGCGGCGTGCACTTCCTGGCCTCGGTGCAGCCCAGTCCACTGGAGGGGAGACTTCAAGCTCCACAGGAGGGGTCTAAAAGGGAACAAAACCACCCGAGGTTTGGGAGGCGAGGTGGTTTTGGGGGTAGCGTTTTTTTAAAAGCTGGTTTGGGACTCTGTGTTGGACTACGCTCCCGGCTTTGTCCTCGGAATTGGCCAGACAAAGCCATTTGTCAGGACACCAGCTGTGAAGACATGGGTGCTTTGATGAATTACAGTCATCTCCGAGCGAAAACAAGGGTGGAAGATCCCCAGAGCAGATGATTTGGCAGCAGGTAATTACCATGTCTTGAGGGCTATAACAAAAGAAAGAACTCCGGCGCGATTTGCGAATCCGTCCAAGCCACATGCGAATCCGTTGAGCAGTGGACAAAAGAAAGAACCGAAATATGAGTGCAACGAACCGAAGTGAGCTAAAGCCAGTTGAGGGCTTGCAGAAGTGCAACAAGGACCGACCAGGTGCTTCGCACCCGAGCCGACCGAGCAGGACCGCTACGATGGATCCGTGGTTGCACCTGCCGATGAGCTGCCAGAGGACACCAAGTTTATATAGTAGAAGAGGTTGGCAACTTAGGGGCACTGATTTCTGTATTTGTTTATTACTGTATATGTCTATTTTGGTGTTGGTGTTGGTGTTGCTGCTCACGGCGGCGTCAGCGACCCTGAGCTTTTAGAGATTGTTTCTTCTCTCCACTTTTTTGAGTCCTCATCCCGTACTCGTACTTGCTGCTACGTCATGCTTAGTGCTGCTGTTGTGGGCCCGAATTGACCATGTTAACTGTATATGTAGGAGAATCATGGACAATCTTCATATTGTTGACACTGTTATTTGTTTGTTGTCGTTGCTATGGTTGTTTGCCGTGCTTTGTTGTATATTTGTCGTGTGTGTTGTTCTTTTTTTTTTGGGACCCGCCTTCCTTCACAACATGGCGCCCCATATGGCGCCTGTGGGTTCGTTTCATTCAGATGGATGGTCAGATCCGGAATCCAGATGTGTTGCTCGTTTCATCTCGGTTCGTTGCAGGTTCGTTGGGTGGGTTGGTTGGGTGAGCCAACTTGGGGTGTGTCCAAGGGACCCAAAAACCTTCGAGCGCCTAGTATACCATGTATCTGAAACACACAAGATAGACAGTCGATCCGTGCAGAAGGATCATCAAACACAAGTTATGATGTTCAGGAGACGGTCCGTGTGTACTTGTTTTTTTGTGTACTGTTTTCCTGAACGGTTTTAACGGTGCCCGCCGCTTTGAACGACAGCGACCGTCAGGAGTTCATGGAATCCGTTCCGGTCACAGCACCCTTGGACGAAATCCCTTCGAAGTTCTCCCACTATCTCACGTCCATAGACACCCAGAGGCTGGAAAAGCGAGGGAGCCTGCGTAGGATGCAGTTGGCGGATGGCTTGCGGATGGCAGTCATTCTTTGGGAGGGCGGCTGTGTTCGTGAAAAACCGGGTTTGCTAGGTCTGTTAGATTGTGTAGGATTGGTAGAAACAAGAACAAACCATCAAAGGTGGTATAAGCATTATAGCATGGCTATGCATGGCTAAAACAAGGCAACGGCCGCAATAGCAACCCTGAGCAATTTGCAACATTGAGGATGCCGCCAAGAGACAAGACACTGGAAGGGTTGTCACTTTGGGACTACGCAATTTTTTGCGTAGGTTGGTAACTGCCTCGTTTTTTTTTGCTTGTGACTACGACGGTCAAAGCACGGCCCCCTCCAAAAAAGGGGGAAACACACAGGTCGTTGTGTCAATGTCTTGAAAAGCAGCTAGCGAAATGATTGTTCAACGTGCGAAATGCCTCTGTCGGCTCTTTTGGCCAGGTTTCCCAGCTTTTGCAGCAGCAAAGATCTTGCATGTCGTGAAATCGAAAACAACCTTGCGATCTCGATGACAACCTTGTGATGTCGATGATCGTGTTGTGATGTGGATGCTAACATGCTAGCAGCTACGAAAAAGGTTAATGTTGCATTTGGCGATAGGGTCGCTAACACGGCCGTGAGCAAAAACAAGCAAGGCTCATCAACACTCACTACGTAATTTTAATATGCGTTCATGATGCTTTATAGGTACTAGATGCTTTCATACCCTTTAAATTGAAAGGGTATGCCTACAGTACATGTTTTTGGAAGCAAGTCTTAACAAAACCCCGGGCTTTTCTCACTCACGGGGAACCCACACCTCACCGAGCCGTCCCGCCGAGCCGTCCCGCTCCGGACGGTCCGAGAACGGGACAGGCGGCGACCTGACGTGATGGGTCTCACAGCTCGTTTCTACAAGGTGAAGCCCACAGAGACCGAGTGTGGTGCCTTCGCGAAAACGAAGCGAAGATGAGTCAAGTGACCAGTGAGACAAATCAAGGTGGTGAACCCCCAAGTGGTTGAAGCCACTTGAACATAGCGAACATGATGTGAATTGGCTTTCATTGGGGTGATTCTAGAAACGCCTGGTGAACTGTTTGCTCTTGGTCCGGAACTGTTCAATTCAACGGAGAACCCATACAGGTGGACCCATATGAGTTTGCTCTTCGTCCTTGGGCAATCTGATTCAATGAGACGACTGGACCCGAAAAACAACTCGCAGTCACCTGAAAACCAAGAACTGCTCTCTTTGTTTTGT